TCGCCAGCAAGCTGTTTCAAGCTCCCCCCTTCCTTCATCGCTCCTCGCCGTCAAGCTGTTTCTAGCTCCCCCCTTACTTCATCGTCCCTCGCCATCAACCGGTTTTACTGAGGTAACCTTCTCTCTATAGATCTTGGTCTCCTTATTCTTCTCCTCTGTCCGCAGGGGCGAATGAAGAATTTACGGGGCCCAGGGTATTATCATTATCATTAAAATTTACGGGAATTTTTCGCACCAGGTGCAAGGAGTCGACGATTTCGACTTCCCCGAGTTGCGCTACGGAAATTCCTCGCACCAGGTGTCAAGGGTCGACGAATTCGACTTTCACAAGTTGCGCTACGGGAATTTTTCGCACCAGGTGGCAAGGGTCGACGAATTCGATTTTCGGGAGTTGCACTACGGGAATTCCTCGCACCAGGTCCCAAGGGTCGACGAATACGACTTTTGCGAGTTGCGCTACAGGAATTTTTCGCATTAGGTGCAAAGGGTCGATGAATTCAACTTCCCCGAGTTGCGCTACGGAAATTCCTCGCACTAGGTGTCAAGGGTCAACGAATTCAACTTTCACGAGTTGCGCTACGGGAATTCCTCGCACCAGGTCCCAAAAGTTAACGAATTCGAATACCCCGAGTTGCGCTACGTGCATTTCTTGTATCAGGTGCCAAGGGTCAATGAATTCGACTTCCCCAAGTTGCACTACGAAAATTTCGCAAACATGAAAAAGAGAGAGAGAGATATGACATATTTTGATATAAAATCTAAAATTTCTTAAAATATTTAGTTATCGATAATCTTACCGTAATATTTTTATGCGCAGAATAATAAAACGAATCAATACGTGTAAAAAAACCCATTGTTATTTTGAAGAAAAAGTATGTAATTTACAATGTACTTTTTTTAACAATTATGCGTTTTCTTTACCACTTCTCATTATTCTAATCATAAAAGTATTACGGTAAGATTATCCATAACTTAATATTTTCAGAGATATTTTAATTTAAATTTTATATTGAAATATGTCAGATTAAGATATAAAATAACTCGAAGAGTATTAAAAAAAACTTCTGCAAAGTATAAAAAAGAAAATTATATCCTTTAATCTTATTAATATTTTATTAACAAATAAACTGCCATGTAATAGAATTTTATTAGTATTAATAAACGAAGAACATCTCATCGACGTCGACATCGATCCAGTCGCAAAACTTATAATGTAAAATAATTTAGTTAATATGTT